CTCACCAAGTTGGTATCAGAGCAAGGTTGCAGACCAGCTATGCCGCAGACAAGATCCTCTACCATGGAAGACAGAGTCGACCAACTTGAGATTGGGTTCCATCAGGTACTGAACGAACTCAGGGATCTCAAGGTGGTCATCTCTAACCTCGCCTCCCAACAAGAAGCCGGCGAGACCAGTCATCCAACAGGGGCCGATGCCTCTATTTCCGGTAGCCAGGGAACTAGGGGTTACCCCGCCGGAAAGGTTACTAAAATCAATTTTCCCAACTATTCCGGTGGAGATCCCATTCCTTGGATTTTCAGAGTAGAGAGATTCTTCAAGTATCATGAAACCCCTGCACACCAGCGCGTCACCATCGCTTCCATTCACCTAGAAGGAGATGCTATTCTCTGGCTTCAGTGGTATTGACAAACCCATCCTCAGGTAACTTGGGCAGAGTTCATAGAAGCCCTGTGCATCCATTTTGGGCCGACGGCATTCGTGGATTACGACGAACTCCTCACTCGACTAAAACAGACCGGGACAGTAGCAGACTACCAACTCGAGTTCGAAAGAATGGCAACCAGGGTACATGGATGGCCGGAGAAGGCTTTGGTAGGGTGTTTCGTGGGAGGTCTCAGAGAAGACATCCGCCTGGAAGTGAGAGCTCTTCGACCAGTGACAGTCATGGCGGCGGTGGGAATGGCTTGCCTGCAAGAAGAGAAGATGGATAGCATGCGCAGAACCAGCAAGCCTTCCTACCCGAATGTGAGGGCTCCCTAGCGGACCGAACAGCAACCCATGAAACAAATTGGGGATTCTCAGAAGCCCATTCTGTCCAGGCTCACTGTGCCCTTCAAGCGCCTCTCATGGGCTGAGATGCAGGCCCGACGCGAGAAGGGCCTCTGCTATAATTGTGATGACAAGTTTGGACCGGGCCATAAATGCCGAGTCCAGCGAGTGTTTCTCCTTCAGACAGAGGAAGAACCGGAAGAAAACGTAGAAGACTGTGAACTGATCTCAGTTGAACCAGAACCGGGGGGAGCCGAGATCTCCTTACACGCCCTCATGGGCCTCAACCCTCTT